GGCGGGGCTGAATGAGAGTGGGGGAGGCTGGCGACTGGGGGCGGGGCTGAATGAGAGTGGGGGAGGCTGGCGACTGGGGGGGCGCTGAATGAGGGCGCTGTTCTCAGCTTCTCCTCCCTGAGAAGGGGCAGAGGAACTTGCTTTCCTGCCTGGGCCGCTCTGAAGGCCAGGGCAGCCCTGCCGCCTCTCTACCCCGCACCGCTCTGGCCGGTTGGCCCAGGGCGGAATGGTGCAGGGCACCGGCTGCAGCGGGAGCCTGGCTGGCCCAGAGCTGGAAAAGCACTGGATGGCAGAGAGACCATCACCGGGTGCTGGGCACCACGGACACACGTGCAGTTCATCAGGGCCCCGAGACGAAGGTCCGACCCACTGGCCCACAACCTAACCACTGCCCTAGGTTAAGTGCAAAAGTGTTCCTTAGCTCATGGGGCTGGTTTTTAAATGCAGACTCCTAGAGAAAAGGTGTGAGCTAGTATACTAAATATATTCTTCCCGGGCAGCTCTAAAGTTCTGGGCTGTCTGAAGGTGGAGGCCAGGTCGAATGGGGGGGCTGGCTGATGGGGAGGCAGTTCGGGTCCCTGGGAGGTGCAGCAGAGCCAGGCCCTTACGTAGTGAATCCTTGTAAATTGCAGCTGATTTGGGGTGCACTGAGATAAGCCCTCAGGGGCTCCCCAGCAGCAGTAGGTGGGTGCCCTGGGCTGTTTCCGTCCTTGCCCAAGGGGGATGATCTACCTGAAGGGATGGATGGTGGGGGAGGGGAGGCTTGAGAAGACTGGGGTGTTGGGAGGCTCTGGGAGCAGTGAGTACATCGTAGTGACACCTGGTCCCCGAGTGGCCCCAATCACGAGGTTCAGTCTAGGATTCCTGGGGCATCGGGAGCCCCGACCTCCCCGTGTGATGAAGGTGGTGAGGGGCGAGGTGCTGGGGGAAGTTTCTGGCATTTTATTTTGGAGTCACGTTGACATAAAATTGGCCTTCATTCCGCGCACGCAGTCGCAGGCGGGGAGCCGACTTTGACGCCCGGTGGCTTGGGCACGTGCTGTCATCTGGTTGCTCACAGGCCCCGTGCTAGCGTCTAGACAGCACGGGCGGGCGGCATGGGCCAGGCGTGCAGCAGCTGGAGGCTGTCTTAGCCCCGAGTGCCTGCGGTGTGATTGCAAGTGAGAGCTCGTTGTTAGTGAGCGTTAAGTGGCAGAGGTAATGAGCTGAGGTGGCACCAGGGGGAGGTGTCACCGGAGGACGCAGAGCCGCAGACATGCAGGATGAGCAAATGGCTCTCCTCTTTGGCTGGATTCTGAGCCCTCTTGAATCACTGCTCCAGAGGGTCCATGGGGGGCATTCAGCTGAGGGAGACTTTGGGGGCGGGGCTGTGGCTCTTTGGGATATGCAGACCCTCGGTAACTCGTAGGGACCCTACGGGGGAGTATTTGGGCCCCCGTAGCACACCTCAGCCTGGCCCACCTCTCGATTTGCTTCCTAAGCTGTGAAACCCATTCCTCTGTGCCCCAAACTCACTTCCAGGAAATTTGAGAAACTGTCTCATGAGCATGTGGCCACTCATGCCTTTACTGGAATTTACAAACTTGGATCATCTCCCATGTCAACCTTCTTTCCAGACTGAAGAACATTCTGGGGCTTGGAGTGAGGAACAGTATGCTGTGAGGGGGGCGGGGGAGAAAAGATGCAGGAAGATGTACTCGCCTCATTCCAAAAGAGCTTGAGGTAGTTTGCAAAGACACACACAGTGAGGAAATCAGGACCGAGGACCGCAGGTTAGGGAAGGGATGTTGTAGCCAAGGATGAGGTGAGCAGCCAACACACAAACCATGAGGCCTGGAGCCCCCTCCCACAGCGGGGACACATGAGGGGTTACACTGCCTGTAGGACAAAAGTCAAACCATTTGCCCCAAACGACTGTGATTCCTGGCCATGAGACCCCGAGAAGTGTCTCCTGTGTGATGACACGCAGGGGATTCTGTGTGACAAGTTAAGCAATATCCTCAACAATTCCACAGCAGTTTCCTCAGGCTAAGCCCAGGGCTGACAGAACATCACACGGCTGTGCAAATACTGCTGACCGTGCTGGATCCAAAGATAAAATTTAGAACAGCTAGAAGAATGCATTGCCTGTTAACATTTACAACAAAGTTTCCAATGAATATCAGGCAGCGGGCAAGTTTATTTAAAATTGGGAATCAAGTACAGAGTTATCAGTATATTCTTGGGGTAAGGGGACTCTCCTCATAGGCAAATAAAGACCTTGATCAGCACGTGTGCCCAACAGGTGAGCCTGGGTACAGGGAGGGACCAGTCACACACCTTACCCCCAGGTCCTGAACCCACTGAGAACTAGACACAGATGGCAGGCATTTATCAACTTTATGGCAGGGAAAGCTGGACTGAAGAAAGAAGCCTGAACCGGAAGCCCAGATGTAGAAGGTGGACCTGACACCCTAACCTTGGGTTTGCATACCTGGCGCAGGTTAACAGGAGGAGATGGGCAGCCTCCTGTCAGCAGACCCCCCTAAATGGGAAGGCAGGCCACGGGGGACAGCCGTGACTTCACCTCCCCCCTGACCCAGGAGAGGAACTTGTCCAGAAGGTGTCAGACCCTCACCACCTCATTAGACAGCCCCTCCCAAAGGGAAGAGAGGTGGGGCGAGGTGGCAGAGGATTATTCCAGAGTCTTGACTCCTGAAGAATAGATTAGAAGCCACCTCGTGAACACATGATGACAAGAGAGCAGGGTCCCCTTTGCAAGGTGCGGGGTGGGGGGGGGGGCATCCACATTGCTGGACAGTGACATCAAAGCTCAAGTTCAGACTTGGGAGTGACATTTGACCCTATCCCTTCCTTCTCTCTCCATCGGGACAATCGTTTTATTTGAGTTTATTTCCTAGACACATCTCACCTCCAACCACTTCTTATTCCCCACGTCACCATGCTGTCCACGCTGCTGTTGTCTTCTGCCTGGATGACAACTGGTGCCCCGCACAGGGTCTGGCCCCCTCCCCCCAGCCCCAACCCATCAGAGTAGCCAAATGGGCTTCTTGTAACACAGGCCTGATCCATCACGTCGTCCGTTTCCTTGAGGGCTTCACGTATGCTGTTCCCTTTGCCTGCAACACTCTTCCAGCTCCCTTCACCTGCCTAAGTACGTGCATCATTCAAGTCTTGACTTAAATACCACTTTTTCCAGGGACACTTTCTCCCACTCCAAGGTGTAAAGTTCCACCTTCTTTTGTCTTGTAGCATGTACCAAAAATTTCAATATTTCATGGACGTGCTCCTTAAAGGCACAGACTGCATTTGTCTTGTTCAACACAGTGCTGAAAAAAAATATATGTATTTTTTTGGCCGTGCAGCTTGGGGAACCTTCGTTCAACCAGGGGTTGAACCCAGCC